GGAAGCCGTCTAATCCTTAATATGGTTAACCTACATAACCTAAATACAAGCTTCAAGCAGAGTCTGCTACTTAGGTGAGTACCCACGATCTACGTTATAGATGACATTGTCGTTACGTTGATGAAATCTAGACATTGATTAAAAAAATTGTTGTTAAAATCAATATACAAAAAGCTGTCACCTCACACAATGTCAAACTTGATATATATGTCGCAAAATTATAATATCAATGCATTTAGTATGTATAAACATAGTCTTCTATGTTTAACGTCGCATAAAAAGTTCTACATAAAATTGGCATAAGGCTCCCAAAATCTCAAATTTAGCCTTGACTCCAGTCTTTCCCGTAAGTACATCCAAACCAATAACTTGTAAAGTGATATTGGTTATACTGCCTTTGCTTGATTGTTCTCAAAAACAATGTACTAATCTAGTTTGTTTAGTATTGCTTACTCGTAAAACTATGTGTGTGTCAAAATGGGCGGACTAGTTTAGAGCGACCCACACGACTAAAACTGACCCATCTCTATTACCAATTGACACTATTGTTTTCCTACCTACAGTGTTTTGTCTTATCTTATTTGCTTTGGAAAGAACCTTACTTATGAGAAAATCATAGATAAGGTTATCCTACCACATTAACAAATGAGCAATCTTATCTTGCTAATTGTGGACAGGAGAACAATTTTTCATATCGAAAAATCTTGCACTTTTTGCTCCTTTTATGATTTCATTTGGAACATAAAATTTCTCACTCCTATTTTAAAGAACAATGTATCAATCAATATCGGAATAAATAAATAAATAAATAAAATAAAAAATCTTAAACGTAATATCGAGTCCAACTATCATCTTCAGAGAAATTAATTAAATACGCCTAAAGGTCACAATTGTCATCAACAATTTCTTGCAGATTTCATTAAATTCACATCTAACGACTCAAATGCAGGTCACTTGAAGATGGGCATATGGCGCAACGGATTGGAGAATAATTTGTTTGGTTGTGAAATTTACCTTTCCCTGATGTCTTTTGGTACAAGTAGTGATGGCAACGATCTGGGAACCCCTGCCCCGTTCCACCCAAACCTTGCGCCCACCTTAGACGGGCCGGGGTGACAATTTGCCCCGTTTATTGTTATTTTTTATTTTTTCTCTTCATGAGGTGGGGCATTCCCTCTCCTCCCCGTCCTGTTAGGACGGAGATTATTCCCATCCCTAGGTTCAAGTGCCCGACTAAGCTTGCATTCGTAAAGATTTGTAAAGAATTAAACTATTAACTATTGATCAGAAATGTGAAAATTTGAGCTTATTTTTTTGAAAGAAAAAGAAAATGATGGATATGTCCAAGCTTGTATCTTGGGCCTGGGGCCCACCACTTTGGCCCAACTATGACATCTTAAACTTAGAAAATATAATTGAATATTTTTTTAGAAATTATTTATTTTGACTGAAGATTTACCCGAATCGAGGAAAATCAATATTGGAAAACTGGAGAAATATATCTCGTGATATATTGACGAGATAATAAAAATTAATACAAAGCAAAAGGGTAGAAGTGAATGGGACCCACTAAAAGATTTCGTTGGGACTCCCAAATCTTCTCTATTGCTGTTAAATGAACCTTTTCCTGGAAACCCTCAAATTACCCTTTGTACGGTTCTTTACCACAGTCTTCAGTACATATTAAACCAGCACACGGTTTCTATTCTTGGCACGTTTTTTCTTTCTTAGATTTTACAACACGTTTTAAAATTATTCAAGTTTATTTCACGTCGGATTTTCTTTTAGCATATAACATATTACATACCTTTGTTTTGCACCGAATTAGAAATTTCAACGATTAGAAGTCTAGCAAAGAGTTAAGAGGATAAATTATAATAAGAACAAGATTTGATAATTCATAATATAAGAAGAAGCACGTGTAGACGTGGACTTTTCTGCAATTGTCTTTTTTATTAGAAAAATCTTCGTCACAATCTGTCATCGACAATATCACTTGAAATTTACGGAAATTTCTAGAAAACTAATGAATGGTTAGCTCAATTTTGAATAGGACATTGCTACATGTTTATTATAATTTACATAATGAATTACATAATGTCACATATTACTCTGTCATTTGTTAGTTTAAAATACAGTCAACATTTTTATCTAATTTTTTTCTCCGCATCATTATATATATAGAGGATTGATCTCTAAATATCGGTGCTTAATTTATGGGATCCACCGTTCTAAAGTATGGCAAAATTAAACTAGAAATTGTAAGAGTTGACTTGCTTAAAGAAGAGGAAACTTGGTCAATACATGAGAACTGATTAGACTATTACGTAGTTTTAGGAGCTATATTTTTTGTAAAGATTCGAGAGTACATCACTCGTAAGTATAGTTCTTAAGTGATATGTCGTTCTTGCTTTCAAAAATCAACCATACTATCTATATCAAGGTTGACCACCTTGGTGGTTTACACTCACGTGAGTTTGCAAATTTTGATGCATTGATTTTAACAATACATTTTCAATCAATGACCAAATTTTTGACACATAGGGGATATAAGTCAAGATGTACACAATAGGGTATTGCGTATTTATTCTGCTACGTATCTCTGTGTTGTGTTGGAATTCTTTACATGGTTGTTTGTGATCTTTAATTAGATTTCCATTATCTAACTTTTACCTATCCAAAAATTTGTTGATTTGGAATCCGAGCTCTATTAAATTGTACTTAACTACAAATGTGTGTGAATCACCAACGTTGCAGTTACACGAGGTTAAGTATAACACACTTGGTAAAGTATTCATGTCAAATGAATTTACCATAAATAGTCAATTTAAAATCTATAAAAACCATAAATAATAAAGCCACGAGAGGTCATTATCTTGAGGTGGCATCTAGCACTCGTCGAAGTAGTTTGACATCCACTTGGATCCATTAATTAAGTATTATTTGAGATTGAGATCTTGACTTTAATTTCATTGGTTTATTTTTATTTTGTTTATATTATTTGTCACTATTACAGGCTCCCCATTCTTATCACGTTCGGCACACATGAAACTAAATAAATGTACTAAAATATTTTTTCAAAAATCTGATTACAGCTGCATATTAGTTCATGAATAATTTACTTGAAAGTTAAAATTACTCCTAAAAATATTGTATAAAATTTGTTATGTGTTGATTTGTGGCTTAATAGTACTTTTAATTGTATCTCTCCAACTAATGAGGTCATCAATCATAGTTAATTTGGAAGTGGTGAGATGGTATCACTAATGTTCAAAACTATAAGTTAAAAGTCCTTATAAGAGTTCAATGTTACGTTTCGATTGTGATGGATAGCCCCAAAAACACAAACGTTGATAGAAATGGAGACGTACCTGCACTTGCACTCAAATTAAACCATGCACAATCAGATCAATGCAAGAAAATCGTCATTTCATGATGAAGTTTTCATAACAATTTAACGTTGAAGGTATAGATTTGATGGACTAAACCCCCGTTTGGCTCCAATTATTTTTCATTAAGTTATAATTTATTTTTCCCTCTTTTCTTATTAATCATAAAATTATATTACATTAAAATTCAAAAAAATTTCCTTCTTTTTCCATCATACATTCTACAGAAAATTGCTATTCCTCTTGTTATAACGTGGAATAAATTAGGTGGCCAAATCATTGGAAATAAAAATTCATTTTCACATAAAATTCAAAGTTTTTAACTCTTCTAAACTTTTTCCTCTAAACTGTCCCTAGAGAATTTTCTCTATTAGTATTGGGAGGCGCAAACTGTCATTTACCAAAAAGAAAAAAGAAACAGTTTGGGCATAACTTTATACAGTAATTGTCAGTATACTTGGGGGGTGTTTGAGCCACATTATTTTGGTAATTATGCATTCTTAAATAATATATTGATGAAAAATGTGTGGTTAAAAAATAAAGAAATTTTTTTAATTTGCTTGTAATATTATTTTATTGAAGAATGTATGATTGAAATGATATCAAATCACTGTTTAAGAATGCATTTTTTTGGAATAATGTGACTCAAGGGGCTCTTACCCCAAAATTCCATCCTCCCGTTTTGACTGCGCAATTATCTTCCATTAATTAAGTATTAATCGAGATTGAGATATTGACTTTGATTTCATTGGTTTATTTATTTTTATTATTTGTCACTATTACATCCTCCCCAATCTTATCACGTTCGGCCACGTGATCTTAATTTCATTGGTTTTTATGTGAATAGGACTAAAGTAAATAAATGTACTAAAATATTTTTCAAAATTCTGATCACAGCTGCATATGAGTTCATGAATAATTTACTTAAAAGTTAAAGCTACTCTTATAGCAGTATATTTGTATAAAACTTGTTATGTGTTGATTTGTTGTTCAATAGTACTTCTACATTGTAGCACTCCAACTAAGGAGGTCATCAAACACGGATCATTTGGAAGTGGTGAGTCGTTATCATTTATTATCGAAACTGAAAGTTAAACATCCTTACGAACGTTCAATATCACGCTTAGCATCGAGAACATAAAAGTTGATAGAGATGGAGACGCATCTGCATCTGCATTTGCATTCAAATTCAGCCATGCGCAGAAAGGAGAATCAATGCAAGAAATGTTCATTTCATGATGAAGTTTTGTAACACTTTAACGTTTAATGTACGATTCAACGAACTAAATATCATTGAAAATAAAAATTCATTTTCATATAAAATTTCCAAAGTTTTTTACTCTTTTAAACCCTTAAAGAATTTCCTCTACTATCGCCCGTTTGACACACGTTATTTTATTTTATGATTTGTTGTATGATCATTTTTAACTATACATTCACGTAATAAAATATTCTATACGTATATCAATAATTTGGATGAAAAAAATATTTTTAATGAAAAATATTGACAATCAAACGTATGAATTAGTATATTTATCCCAAAATTCCATCCTCCCATTTTGACTGCCCAATTTTCAATTCACTACTGGAGTCCTAGTCCACCCCCACCCAATCCACTAAACCACTCCACGACTTCCATCAAAATCCCGCGAGAAAATCAAGTCTTCGATGCAGAAAACTTGAAAAACTCTCCAAGATAGGGAAAATCGGATCCCCTCCAAAGTGGATTTCAGAATATCAGCAGTAGCCAGTGCGCTACGTAAATATCAAAAAGTAGATTTCATTGGATTTGATTTTGAACACTTCTTTTTCTTCATATATACATTGAAAAAGACTTGTGGTAGCCCATATATTTTTGATACAGACAGATTCACTCACCATTACATTGCAGCAAATTTTTTCTGTTCATCTCTTTCTTTCTTTCTTTATTATATCAGCTTGTAACTTGAATGGCTTTTTGAAGGGAAAAAAGTTTGTGGTTTTTGTTTCTTATTTTTTCATCTGGGCTCTTCAGATTTTCTCCAAGAACTGAAAATGGCTAAAAATATTCTGTTTTCAAGATTAAGGAAGGTTGAGAAGAATGAACGGTTTGATGATGATTTATTGTCATCTTGTGATTCTGATGAAGTCCATGTTTTAGCTGTTGATGACAGTTTTGTTGATAGGAAAGTCATTGAGAGATTGCTCAAAATCACTTCTTGTAAAGGTGAATGCTCTTTTGAATTTATTTTGTTAAATTTGCTTAATTTTATGAAATACTAATTATTTGTGCCATTGCAGTTACAGTAGTGGATAGTGGGATGAGGGCTTTGCAGTTCTTAGGACTGGATGAAGAAGAAAGTTCTGATGGTTATGATGTGAGTAAATAATTAATTATAATTATTTTTAAAACAACTTATTATAAGGGCTTTTTGGTGTTAATTAATGTATTAATGGGTGATCCATTTTGATCATCAGGGTTTAAAGGTTGATCTGATAATCACAGATTATTGTATGCCTGGAATGACTGGTTATGAATTGCTCAAGAAAATCAAGGTTCAATTTTGTCATGAAATTTGTTACATCAAAATTTTAATTTTTAATTAATTAATTAATTAATTATTTTTTATTGCAACAGGGATCATCTACATTTAGAGAAATTCCAGTTGTGATCATGTCATCTGAAAATGTTTTAACTCGGATTGACAGGTACCTTCATATCTTTTGCTGGCCTATACATTTTTCTCTCCTTTTTTTGTTGCCTAATTTTAATTTCAAGAAAAGTTATATGCAAAAAAAACCAAGTTGAGAGATTTACACCGTGTTTGACCGTGTTTAAAAGTCACTTTTTAGCTTAATTTCTCATCGACGGAACATACGCTAATTAATCTTTGAAAACTTAAAATTAAAGTGATTGAATAAGGATAAGTATTTGTTCTTCAATATTCATATTGTTTAATTATGGTTTATGATAATTTAATTGGAGTTGGATGGTCCATGTCATGCTTAATCATAGTTTTTTAGCAATTAGGTTTACCACACGACTAGAATCAATGAATTGGCTACCAATTAATGCTTCGATATCTGGGTATATTATGGAACAAGTTACCTTATTTAGTATGCATTATAAAATCTTATCCACACAACTAATTGAACTACTCTTGAAAATAAACATCAACTTGGTTGAGTAAAAAGAACAGATTTTTTAAGAAATGATTGGAGCACGAAACTAAGTAGAGCAAGTTTTTTGCTAATGAAGAATGAGTTCAGTCTGTCTTTTCTCGATGATATCCGGCGTGTTTTGTGATTTTGATCTTCGAAATCTTATAATCTAATTTATGGGTTTGTGCTTAGTTTATTTTATAAAGTTTGTTTAATTTCATGTTGCCCTCTTTCTCAATTGATGGGTATTTTGAGTTATTTTATTCTAATGTTGTTATTCGATATCAGATGTTTGGAAGAAGGCGCGGAAGATTTTATAGTAAAACCCGTTAAGTTATCATATGTAAAAAAATGTGTGGTTAAAAAATAAAGAAATTTTTTTAATTTGCTTGTAATATTATTTTATTGAAGAATGTATGATTGAAATGATATCAAATCACTGTTTAAGAATGCATTTTTTTGGAATAATGTGACTCAAGGGGCTCTTACCCCAAAATTCCATCCTCCCGTTTTGACTGCGCAATTATCTTCCATTAATTAAGTATTAATCGAGATTGAGATATTGACTTTGATTTCATTGGTTTATTTATTTTTATTATTTGTCACTATTACATCCTCCCCAATCTTATCACGTTTGGCCACGTGATCTTAATTTCATTGGTTTTTATGTGAATAGGACCAAAGTAAATAAATGTACAAAAATATTTTTCAAAATTCTGATCACAGCTGCATATGAGTTCATGAATAATTTACTTAAAAGTTAAAGCTACTCTTATAGCAGTATATTTGTATAAAACTTGTTATGTGTTGATTTGTTGTTCAATAGTACTTCTACATTGTAGCACTCCAACTAAGGAGGTCATCAAACACGGATCATTTGGAAGTGGTGAGTCGTTATCATTTATTATCGAAACTGAAAGTTAAACATCCTTACGAACGTTCAATATCACGCTTAGCATCGAGAACATAAAAGTTGATAGAGATGGAGACGCATCTGCATCTGCATTTGCATTCAAATTCAGCCATGCGCAGAAAGGAGAATCAATGCAAGAAATGTTCATTTCATGATGAAGTTTTGTAACACTTTAACGTTTAATGTACGATTCAACGAACTAAATATCATTGAAAATAAAAATTCATTTTCATATAAAATTTCCAAAGTTTTTTACTCTTTTAAACCCTTAAAGAATTTCCTCTACTATCGCCCGTTTGACACACGTTATTTTATTTTATGATTTGTTGTATGATCATTTTTAACTATACATTCACGTAATAAAATATTCTATACGTATATCAATAATTTGGATGAAAAAAATATTTTTAATGAAAAATATTGACAATCAAACGTATGAATTAGTATATTTATCCCAAAATTCCATCCTCCCATTTTGACTGCCCAATTTTCAATTCACTACTGGAGTCCTAGTCCACCCCCACCCAATCCACTAAACCACTCCACGACTTCCATCAAAATCCCGCGAGAAAATCAAGTCTTCGATGCAGAAAACTTGAAAAACTCTCCAAGATAGGGAAAATCGGATCCCCTCCAAAGTGGATTTCAGAATATCAGCAGTAGCCAGTGCGCTACGTAAATATCAAAAAGTAGATTTCATTGGATTTGATTTTGAACACTTCTTTTTCTTCATATATACATTGAAAAAGACTTGTGGTAGCCCATATATTTTTGATACAGACAGATTCACTCACCATTACATTGCAGCAAATTTTTTCTGTTCATCTCTTTCTTTCTTTCTTTATTATATCAGCTTGTAACTTGAATGGCTTTTTGAAGGGAAAAAAGTTTGTGGTTTTTGTTTCTTATTTTTTCATCTGGGCTCTTCAGATTTTCTCCAAGAACTGAAAATGGCTAAAAATATTCTGTTTTCAAGATTAAGGAAGGTTGAGAAGAATGAACGGTTTGATGATGATTTATTGTCATCTTGTGATTCTGATGAAGTCCATGTTTTAGCTGTTGATGACAGTTTTGTTGATAGGAAAGTCATTGAGAGATTGCTCAAAATCACTTCTTGTAAAGGTGTGTAAATTTTGTAAATTTTTTTTAAAATTATTTTGTGAAGTTTGGTAATTTAATGAAATACTAATTATTTGTGCAATTGCAGTTACAGTAGTGGAAAGTGGGATGAGGGCTTTGCAGTTCTTGGGACTGGATGAAGAAGAAAGTTCTGTTGGTTTTGATGTGAGTAAATAATTAATTATAAATAAGTATTTTTTAGATAATAGATTATAAGGACTCTTTTTTGGTGTTAATTAATTTATTAACGTGTGTTTAATTTTGATCTCCAGGGTTTAAAGGTAGATCTTATAATCACAGATTATTGTATGCCTGGAATGACTGGTTATGAATTGCTCAAGAAAATCAAGGTTCAATTTTGTCATGAAATTTGTTACATCAAAATTTTAATTTTTAATTAATTAATTAATTAATTATTTTTTATTGCAACAGGGATCATCTACATTTAGAGAAATTCCAGTTGTGATCATGTCATCTGAAAATGTTTTAACTCGGATTGACAGGTATATTTTGCCGGTCTGCTTTTTTTCTCTCCTACTTTTCTTGCCAAAATTTTAACAGTGTGCAAATCAGCAAATTGATTAGATTTAAGTCATGTTTGGCCATGCTCAAAAGCGGTTTAAAGATTGCTAATTTAATTCTGTGCAAAGAGTTATAAACAAATTTGATTGAAATAAAAATCAATATTTGTTGTTAGTTGATCTTAAAGTTTGTATAATTTCATCGTGTCATCTTCCTCGAGAAGTGATGGCTTATGTGATGTAATTTGTTCTAATGAGTTGTTATTCAATATCAGATGTTTGGAAGAAGGAGCTGAGGATTTTATAGTAAAGCCTGTCAAGTTATCTGACGTAAAACGTCTGAAGAACTACATGTTTGGCGAAGGTCGGACAAAGAGTCAAGACACAGGATCTAATAAGAGGAAGTTACAAGAGACTTCACCTTCACCTTCACCTTCTCCGACATCCTCAATTTCACCGGAACCATCTTCCGATTTGTCATCAACTTCTTCACCATCAACACCTCATTCACCACCATCTCAAGAGTCTCCTACGAGGCGATACAAAACGAGCAATCCCAACTTAAAAGAGTAGACACGCCAATTGTCCCCATTAATTCAAAGTTTTCTCTTGGCTTGCCGTTATTTTTGTTATTAACTTTTTGTATCCACAACCCATGTGTCACAATGTTTATACGAGTAAAATTCACTCATCTTCTATAAATTGACAATTGACATCGTTTAAGTTGTCGGTCGTTAAAAGTTGTTCCACTAAGGTATCAATTGTATTGTGCCATCTAATTCAATGAACTCGTTTCTAAAATAGTCAAGCACGCTTAAGTTGTCGGTCGTTATAAGTTGTTCCACTAAGGTATCAATCGTATTGTGCCATCTAATTCAATGAACCCATTTCTAAAATAGTCGAGCACGCATAAAACTATACTATTTCGCAAACTTTTCCACAAATTATTCAAAGCATGTTTTGTACAGTTTAAAATTCAATTAAAATTAATTTTTTCACCGTTATTTCACTATTTCAACAATCATTTTTGAATTTTTCTCTTACAGATAGAATTTACTTTATTTCTAATGGTCAAAAATTCAATTAACAAAATCTCTACCAGACAAGTATGTATTTATCTTTACGACATATCCATAGTAGTTGAAATCTGGATTTATTTGATGTCAATTCTTGTCTGCAAAAAGGCATATTGGATTCGGATTTGAAGTGGACAAGTTATTTTTTCCATGTGCAGTTAAATCTTTATTGGTGGGGTGGGGTGGGGTGGGGTGGATTTAGCTGCAGAGTTATTGGTAGACACCAAAAATTAACCTGCTGTCAGGCCCAACACCAGAACATAGCATCTTCTGTTAAAGCTGAACATTTATAAGTTATAAACACCTCAGTAATGTGATGTGGCTGGTCTAGTCATTGCTTCTCTATGTACATGTGACGTGTTTGGTAGGAAAGCTCGTGTCATTAAAGAGTATTAATGACGAAAGCGAGTTCTCTATTCCTAAAAGATGTAGTAAGTTGGGTTTCAAATGGGGGGATTTCAAACGTTAAAAAGATAATATTTTTATACCACTTACTCTTTTGGGATAAAAGTGTATCGCAACCCAATACAATTATTTTCTTCCATGTGCCCTACGTAAAATTGTAGTTTGGGTCTGGGGGAGGAAGGTTTATTTGTTGGTGGTATAGAAACAAGTTTTCTTTTTAAAATTTTTATTTTAATTAATAGTGATGATATAATGTATTTTTAATTAAACTTCAACTTTTTAAAGGAAATATGGATAGAAACTAGTAGGGGGACCAAATGGAAACTTTTATTGTAATTATTGAAGGAAAAAAGCTAAGGGTTATACTACATATATATTATGGTGTCCATAAAAGTGTCTATAATATATAAGTGACATAACATCATTGAAGGGTTGAAAACAGTTTTATTTACCCTCCAATCATGAAATTCTATGTGTACATTATAGACATAGTTATGAACACCATAATGTACATATAGAGTTATCCAAAAGTTAATTATATTTACATACCATTTGTCTAATACAATATAAAGTACCAAATCTAATATATTGTTAGTCCGATCATACCGATTGATCCCAATAGTTGATCTAACATATGAATGTTTTAATCACCATTTGGCCCCCATTGTTGGGAATGGAAATGGGTAGAATAGTTTTTTTTTTTTTTGGTGAAAAATGAATGGTAGAAAAAGAACGAAAAGTTTTGGATTTAAATATAATATTATTTTATGAAAAATTGTGTAGTTAAAAATAGAAGAGAGAAAAATGAAATGAAATATAATTGGGGGGGGGGTCAAACGGGGGCTTAAAATACTTGAAAAGGTGACGTCTAGGCACGTAAGTCATTTATAGAACGATTTGGATATGGGCAAGAAGTGTAAAAGACGCTCAACTCCCTTTTCACCGTCAATGCGGACCTAGGCATCAAAAGACATGCACCATTTTCTAATTATTTTTATTTTTTTGGAAGTAATTTCTTGGACACAATGGCTAATGTGAGCATAGTCACTTAATCAATGTAAATGATTTCTTGGACCCATTTTGCCTTGAAAAGGATTTTGTTTCTTTTAATTTTCAATTGTCTAGTTTTTCACAATTTGAAATCGACTACAATAGAATTAGATAATTATCAAATTTGTGATTTTTATTATTTAGTATTCGTTATTTCATTTAATTAATGATATTGCAATAATTAAAATAAAACTAAAATTAATTATTATTATTTTTACGTCTCGTTAGACGCGAGATTTTATCTTGCAACATTGTCACAGCTTATGCTTTTTAAAATATTGTGAGTTTTTTTAAATATTTTAAAAACTTCCGATAATTTAAAATTTGAACGAACAATTTGATAATTGAATATTCTGAACGAGTCAATATTGATGTTGGGTCTACTAAGATTTTGCTCGATGTAAATGCACATGTTATTGTGTTTGTTTAGTTCACCTATAAAGGCCAACACACATTAATTTTAATGTGTAATGGATTTTTCGTTTAGTCCAAAGAGTCGGCAATTTTGGAAGATTTGCCGGTTGGTTGGCAATTTCATCATTCAAATGAAGTAATTAATGACAACAATAAAAGTTAAAAGGTTGTTTGACTTAGTTTAAATATTATTAATTTTCAATAGAGCAATCATTTTTTCACCCAAATCCCTACGTTTGGGATATTTGATTGACAAGTATAATATTTTCTATATTGAAAACTAAATCAATCAAATACATTTAGTTACTAATTTTCATACAAATAAATTCTAGGAAATTGAATTACTTATAATTTTTTTTTCTTTTCATGCAAATTTCATAAATCAAACGTACCCTTAGTCTCCAATCTCATTATTTTCAACTTTTTTAATTAAGTTTCAACATTTTACTAAACTAAATTGGTGTTAATCCATTGAAAATTTTATGAAATTACATTCAAGTCATCTGTTAAATTTACTTAAAAGTTTTCTTACTTATTTTGGAAATAGAGCTTTATTTAGCTTGACAGTAATCTCNCTATCATTCCTTTGACATATTATGCAACAAAAAAGCTATCAAAGAACAACTTAGACGAGTAAACTATCATTCCTTTGACATATCATGCAACAAAAAAGCTATCAAATGACAACCTAGACAAGGAAACTATCATTCCTTTGACATATTATGCAAAAAAAAAGCCATCGATCCAGCCACACTAAACAAACCCAAGCCATTACTGAATTTCTTAAAATGTTGATAGCAAATCTGATGAACTCTCCTATTCATAATCCCTTGGACATCCAGGGGTCGTCACTTTGGCTTCCCCTAACTTGAAAAATTCTTGAAAGACCTCCCGATGACGATAAACCGCTCTTTTCGAAGGCTACAATCGGCAGTAGTTTGTGCTCTCTCTTTTGATAAGCTACAAGGAAAAACTCCTTAAGGCTATGTTTGAGCCCCATTTCATGTAAAAAACGAGTTTTGTAACAGAGATTTTTTGAATAGTGTGTAGTTAAAAAGTAGAGAAAAGTTTTGAATTTATATATAAATTATTTAATTTAAAAAATTTATGATTGAAAATGAGTTTAAAAAAAATTAATATTTAAAAAATGGAGAAGCTTAATGGTTGTTGCAACTACTGCTTGTGAGGTTCTTTGGATAAAATCACTTCTTGAGTAGCTTGGAGAACCTATTAGCTCTATTCCAACAATCTACCGTAATAATATCGACACAACATATCTTTATTTTAGTCTGATGCTTCATTTACTGATGAAACATGTTGAAGTTGATATTCATTTTGTCTTGGACAAAGTTCAATTTTGGACATTTCATGCATCCTACTGACAGATCTACTCACCATTCTGGTGTCTATAGCTCAATTTTAGTTACTACTGTTTCGCGTGTGTTAATTCGCTAACAATTAAAGAGGATCAGACGATTGTGTAAGGGACGAAACCTCTTGAGACAAAGTCCCAAAAAGGGGTGTTCCTTTTATTGGCGATGAACTTTACAATTGGAAACGGAAAACAACGTGCCTCCAAGGGGCGCAAGCACACGAGTTACAGAAAATGAAGTGTTTAAGTCTAAAAGTTAAAGAAATGAAAATTACATATTCTCTGTTCGAGAGTTTTGGATTCGGTCCTTTGCTTCTATGTTCTTTCTCCCTTTTATACTTCATAGGCGATCCCTTTGTGATTAACTGCTCTAAAAAAAACTGCTTGATCGCCCTATAACTACCCACTTTCTTTGTAGTGGTCATTTTGTCATGAAACTGTCCTTTTAACTGCTGCCATTATCTTGCATCATTCAACCGCTTTCGATTGAACCCCTTAAGTCGTGGAACGTGATAAAAGTTACTTTAGCAACTGCCTCAATAACTGCATCATAATACGTTATGCTTGTTGATACCTTGGGCGACTTGAAGATTTGGGCGAGACTCTGGGCGACCGTATGCCACTCTATTC